CCCAGGCTCTGGGGGGGGGGCAAGAGAACGAAACCATCCCGAGGTATTTTTGTTGTTTGTTTCGATCGTTGTCTCGAGGTTTTTTGTTTGGGATGTTTTGCCATGGTCGCGTTTTTTTTTTTTGTTTGGGGGGGGGCGAGAAAAATAGCTTGGCGAAGGGCCCGGCCATATGCAGGTGTGAGTACCGCAGTTGTGATTGCCTTTTTCGGTGGTGATCCCTATGAGGCGATGAACCGTGCTGGGGGCGTGCCGAAATGAGTGGCGCGGTGCGCAGCGCGAGCGAAAACGATTGATCTGAATACGTCGGGGGACTGAGCGCGAGCGAATCTGAGCGCGAGTGCGTCTGACTGTGAATGAATCTGCGCGCGAGCGAGCCTGCGTGCATGAATGCGAGTATGACACAGCATGGTGCAAGTGTATATGAATGTCAATAGTATGAGAATGACTGCCAATGAGTACTCGCGACGCTGGGCGTGGCCGCCGCAAGGAGCTTCCCCGGGGGCCCCCGACGGCATCGCACGCGCGCCGCGACGCCACCGCGAGGATCGCGCCCGCTTCCTCCCCTTCTTTTGCTGCCTCTTTGCCCGCGCACTCAAAAGTCCAAGGCCGCGGGCGCAGCGCAGCGCGGAGCCCCAGCGACGCGCGCAGGTCGCCCCGGAGGGGTCCCAGCGACGCTCGCGGGCCGTCCGCTGCGCGCAGCAAAGAGAGCTGGCTGGCTGGCTGATAGCGGGCAAAGCTCTTGCCGCTGGGCAGAGCGACGACGGGCGAGCGAGGCGCGGAACTCCGACGGCCTCCGACGGAGGTGTACTGGGTGGGGGAGACGCATGCGGGCTGCGCCACGGGGACCTTCGGTGGAGCTCCCTATGCGGCCACGAAACGCATGAAAAGGGTGTGCCGAAATGGGTGCGCGGGACGAATGCGGGCACACCCACTCGGCCCCTCGGTGGAGCTCCGCATGGGGCCACGAAACGTGTGAGAGGTGTGCCGAAATGGGCATGCGGGGCGCAAGCGGGCACACCCGTTGGGACCTTCGGTGGAGCCCCCTTTTTGGGGGCCACGAAGCGTGTGAGGGGTGTGCCGACATGGGTGTGCGAGACGCATGCGGGCGCAGCCACTGGGACTTTCGTCTCCCTATGGGGCCACGAAGCGTGTGAAGGGTGTGCCGAAATGGGCGTGCGGGACGCATGCGGGCGCACCCACTGGGACCTTCGGTGGAACCCCCGAATGGGGCCACGAAGCGTGTGAGGGGTGTGCCGACATGGGTGCGCCCGACGCATGCGGGCGGCGGCACTGGGGCCTTCGGTGGAGCCCTCTTTATGGGGCCACGAAGCGTGTGAGGGGTGTGCCGAAATGGGTGTGCTGGACGCGTGCGGGCACACCCACTGGGACCTTCGGTGGAGCTCCCTTTGGGGCCACGAAGCGTGTGAGGGGTGTGCATAAATGGGTGTGCGGTACGCGTGCGGGCACACCCACTGGGACCTTCGGTGGAGCTCTTTATGGGGCCACGAAGCGTGTGAGGGGTGTGCCGACATGGGTGTGCGGGACGCATGCGGGCACACCCAATGGGACCTTCGGTGGAGCTCCGTATGGGACCACGAAACGTGTGAGGAGTGTGCTGAAATGGGTGTGCGGGACGCATGCGGGCACACCCACTGGGATCTTCGGTGGGGTCTCTGTGGGGCCACGAAACGTGTGAGGAGTGTGCCGAAATGGGTGTGCGGGACGCATGCGGGCACACCCACTGGGACCTTCGGCGGAGCTCCCTATGGGGCCACGAAGCGTGTGAGGGGCGTGCCGAAATGGAGGGGGGAGGAAGGGGGAGGGGGGGAGGAGGCAGCGGGAGGAAGGAGGGACGCGGGGCGCTGTCTCTTCAAAACGAGGACCCAACACCACAGGATGGTGGAACACAAAAAATAATTGGCGACGTATCCAACCCCTGCGCAATGCGGGGCATGAGTAGCTTGGGGGACGTTATACGGAGGTGATGACGTGACATGGGCGCACATTCTTCTGGAAACGGCATTCGTGAGGCCCGCAGCCCCCCAAGGATTGCGATGTCCCGTTCAGATATGCCGGGTGCCTCACCCCGCAGGACCCACCAGCAGCCCTCGAAAGCGGCGACAGTTTCGCAGATCGCAGCCCCCCGGAGACGGCGAGGTCCCGCTCAGGTCCGCGCGTGCCTCACGCCGCAAGACCCGCCAGCGGCCCTCGAAAGCGGCGACAGCTGCGCAAATCGCAGCCCCCCAGGGACGGCGAGGTCCCGCTCAGATCCGCGCGGTGCTTCACTCCGCAGGACCCACCAGCAGCCTTCGAAAGCGGCGACAGTTTCGCAGATCGCAGCCCCCCAGGGACGGCGAGGTCCCGCTCAGGTCCGCGCGGTGCCCCACTCCGCAGGACCCACCAGCAGCCCTCGAAAGCGGCGACAGGTTCGCAGATCGCAGCCTTCAGGGACGGCAAGGTCCCGCTGAGATCTGCGCGGTGCCTCACCCCGCAGGACCCACCAGCAGCCCTCGCAAGTGGCACAGGCTCGCAGATCGCAGCCCCCCAGGGACGGCGATGTCCCGCTCAGGTCCGCGCGGTGCCTCACTCCGCAGGACCCACCAGCAGCCTTCGAAAGTGGCGACAGTTTCGCAGATCGCAGCCCCCCGGAGACGGCGAGGTCCCGCTCAGGTCCGCGCGGTGCCTCATTCCGCAGGACCCACCAGCAGCCCCCGAAAGTGGCGACAGTTTCGCAGATCGAAGCCCCCCAGGGACGGCGAGGTCCCGCTCAGGTCCGCGCGGTGCCGCACTCCGCAGGACCAGCAGTCTTCGAAAGTGGCGACAGTTTCGCAGATCGCAGCCCCCCAGGGACGGCGAGGTCCCGCTCAGGTTTGCGCGGTGCTTCACTCCGCAGGACCCACCAGCAGCCCCCGAAAGTTGCGACAGTTCCGCAGATCGCAGCCCCCCAGGGACGGCGAGGTCCCGCTCAGGTCCGCGCGGTGCCTCACCCCGCAGGACCCACCGGCAGCTTTCGAAAGTGGTGACAGTTTCGCAGATCGCAGCCCCCCCAGGGACGGCGAGGTCCCGCTCAGGTCCGCGCGGTGCCGCACTCCGCAGGACTCACCAGCAGTCTTCGAAAGTGGCGACAGTTTCGCAGATCGCAGCCCCCCAGGGACGGCGAGGTCCCGCTCAGGTTTGCGCGGAGCTTCACTCCGCAGGACCCACCAGCAGCCCCCGAAAGTAGCGACAATTTCGCAGATCGCAGCCCCCCAGGGACGGCGAGGTCCCACTCAGGTCCGCGCGGTGCCTCACTCCGCAGGACCCACCAGCAGCCTTCGAAAGTGGCGACGGTTTCGCAGATCGCAGCCCCCCAGGGACGACGAGGTCCCACTCAGGTCCGCGCGATGCCTCACTCCGCAGGACCCGCCGATTCGAAAGTGGCGACGTTTCGCAGATCGCAGCCCCCCAGGGACGGCGAGGTCCCGCTCAGGTCCGCGCGGTGCCTCATCCGCAGGACCCACCAGCAGCCCTCGAAAGTGGCGACAGTTTCGCAGATCGCAGCCCCCCAGGGACGGCGAGGTCCCGCTCAGGTCCGCGCGGTGCCTCACTCCGCAGGACCCACCAGCAGCCCTCGAAAGTGGCGACAGTTTCGCAGATCGCAGCCCCCCAGGGACGGCGAGGTCCCGCTCAGGTCCGCGCGGTGCTGCCCTCCGCAGGACCCCTCGAAAGTGGCGACGGTTTCGCAGATCGCAGCCCCCCAGGGACGGCGAGGTCCCGCTCAGGTCCGCTCGGTGCCTCACCCCGCAGGACCCACCAGCAGCCCCCGAAAGTGGCGACGGTTTCGCAGATCGCAGCCCCCCAGGGACGGCGAGGTCCCGCTCGGGTGCGCGCGGTGCCTCACTCCGCAGGACCCACCAGCAGCCCTCGAAAGTGGCGACAGTTTCGCAGATCGCAGCCCCCCAGGGACGGCGAGGTCCCGCTCAGGTCCGCGCGGTGCCTCACTCCGCAGGACCCACCAGCAGCCCTCGAAAGAGGCAACGGTTTTGCAGATCTCAGCCCCCCAGGGACGGCGAGGTCGCGCTCAGGTCCGCGCGGTGCTTCACTCCGCAGGACCCACCAGCAGCCCTCGAAAGTGGCGACGGTTTCGCAGATCGCAGCCCCCCAGGGACGGCGAGGTCCCGCTCAGGTCCGCGCGGTGCCTCACTCCGCAGGACCCACCAGCAGCCCTCGAAAGTGGCGACGGTTTCACAGATCGCAGCCCCCCAGGGACGGCGAGGTCCCGCTCAGGTCCGCGCGGCGCCTCATTCCGCAGGACCCACCAGCAGCCCTCGAAAGTGGCGACGGTTTTGCAGATCGCAGACCCTCAGGGACGGCGAGGTCCCGCTCAGGTCCGCGCGGTGCCTCACTCCGCAGGACCCACCAGCAGCCCTCGAAAGTGGCGACAGTTTCGCAGATCACAGCCCCCCATCGTCGGCGAAGAGAGGGCAGGAGGAGGCGGGAGGCGGAAGAAGGGACGCGACCACAGTGCTCTATTCAAAACGAATGCCCAACCAAGAAGGATAGGGAAAAAACAGAACCCAAGGTCGCCCGCCCCCTGGCTCTGGGGGAAGGTTTTGTTTCACAAGGTTTTCCGGAGGTCACCGGCCACTTCAGAAATTCCCCAACAAACGCCCATCGGGGTTTCGTTCATGTGTTTTGCGGGGGTCCTCCACCTCTGGAGAATGTGCGAACGTCGGCCGGGGAGATGAGGGGGGAGTGTTGGAAACGTGGGGTGGGCTCGATCGTGAAATCCGTGGCGCCCCAAGTTCACATTTGGTTTGCTGGCTCCCAGCCGTACGTTGGCACAACACCGATAGAATGTGTGGCGAGTTTCAGCGCTGCGTACGAGCATCTGCTTCGGGGGGGGGGAAAGTAGAGACACCATGCCTAGTTGGACAGCGCTTGGTAACCAATGTCTGGAACACTGTTAAGATTTGGCGACGGTTGTTTGCGAGGGTGCCCGCAGCAATTCCATTCCCGAGGTTACCACTGGGGTGGACTGGTCTCCCTACTACAGCACAGCAGAAGCATTGGGGAAATTCCACAGCTGTGTGTGGCTTTTTTTTATCGCGTTCACTCAAATAGCATTGCTGAACGTGCTTACAAGTATTTTTGTTGAAAGCGCACTGAAGATCGCGGAGCCAGACCACGTGGAGAAAGCGTTGCATTTTGCGGCATACGACCATGAGATCACAAATCATCTTCGGATACTGTTGTACGAGGAGTTTGGGTTGCTCGATCACTCTGCATTTCCCATGGCGACATTCTTCCAGAAAGTCCACGGCACGAAGCTCAACCATTACATGAAGTTCATTGGTGTCAACGCAGTGGAGATGGAGCGTTTGATGACCATGATCCAAAGTATGGGCCGCTCCCAACTAATAACGACCGGTGCCTTCATCAAAGGGTGTATGAAGGTCAGAGGTGAGGCCAGGTCATTGGATATGCAGCACCTGCTCCTCGCTATGCAGTTCATGCAGAAGAACCAGGCGGAGATAAAGAAGAACCAGGCGAGCATGCAGAAGAACCAGATGGACATTATCACCCGCATGTCCAGCAATAGGGCGCCCCTCAACGACAACTGAGCAGAACTTTTTCAGATCTCCGTCCCGTCCTAAACACCCGCCTACCTCTTATTGTCCTCATCCCCCTCACCCCGCTCCTTCCAAGGCTCGTTTCGATTCCTCCGGTTCGATTCGATTCGATGTCGATGGTTTCTGATTCCGATTCGATTTGATTTCGGATTCCGAATTGGGCTACGACTTGTCAATGGAGACCTACTAGCCTACTGATTTCCGCCGATTCGATTTCTCCTGACTCGGCTGCCGATTTCTGCCGATCCGATTTACTCCGATCGCCGATCCAATTGATCGATTCTATTCTGGGCTCTCCTGCGTTCTAGTCATCCTCGGCCCCTGGCGAAACACTGTGCTGAAAAAGACCTGCGCGTTTTTTGGTTTCCGACCCCCTTTTCAAAAAGCAGACGAAAAAGCAGACTTATCGGACTTAAAATTATCTTATTTATAAGTATAACTATAAGTAATTTATAAGTATGGCAATTGGGTGCACACAAGTAACATATGTTCTACATGTCATTTAAGTATATATGTTAATGAATTAAATTAGATGTGGATGGTAGTTGCAGGATATTAACATATCTCACTACAAGTGATTTCAAGTTACTTACAAATAACTTACTTATAAGTGACTTCATCTGACATAGATCTCATATGTCAACGCCATCACCCGGTCGGGTCCCGGGACGATCCCGGGTGCCGCGGCAGGTCCCGGGTCCCGCGCCGGTTCCGGATCTCGGGTCCCGCGCCGGTCCCGGGTCGCGGTCCCGGGTCCGGCGCTCGTGCTGGGTTCGGGGTTTTGGATTCTGCGCTGGTCCCGGGTCCCGGGTCTGGAGTCCCGGGTCTCAGGTCCCGCGCCGGTCCCGGGTGTCGGGTCCCGCGCCGTTCCGGGTGCCGGGTCCCGCGCCAGTCGCCAGTCCCGGGTCCCGGGTCCCGCGCTGTTCCCCTGTCGCAGGTTCCGGATCCCGCGCTGGTCTCGGGTCCCGGGATCCTGCGCCGGTGCGGGGTCGCAGGTCCTGCGCCGGTCCCGGCTTGGGTCTCGCGACGCTCCTGGGTCCCGGGTCCCGCGCCGGTCACGGGTTCCGGGCCCCGTGTCCCGGGTCACGCGCAGGTCCTGGGTCCGGGTGCCGCGCTGGTCCCGGGTCGCGGGTCGCGGGTCCCGGGTCCCGCACCGGTCCTGGGTCCCGAGTCCCGCGCCGGTCCCGGGTACCGGGTCCCGGGTCCCGTGCCGGTCTCGGGTCTCGGGTCCCGTGCTGGTCCCGGGTGGCGGGTGCCGCGCCGGTCCTGGCGTCCCGGTCCCGGATCTTGCGCCGGTGCGCCGGGTGCCGAGTCGACTCCCGGGTCCCGCGCCGGCTTGAGTCCCGGGTTCCGCGCCACTCTCAGGTCCGGGTCACGGGTCCCGCGCTGGTCCCGGGTCTCGTGCCGGTCCCGGGTTCGGGTCCCGCGTTCGTCCCGGGTCCCGGGTCTGCGCTCGTCCCAGATCCCGGGTTCCGCGCCGGTGTCCCGGGGCTCGCGCCGGTGTCCCGGGGCTCGCGCCGGTTCCGGGTCCCCGGTCCCACGGCGGTCGTCCTGGCCGGGTCCCGGGTTCCGCTCCGGTCCCGGGTCGCTGCAGGTCCCGGGTCTCGCGCCGGTCGGGTCCCGGGACGATCCCGGGTGCCGCGGCAGGTCCCGGGTCCCGCGCCGGACCCGGGTCTCGGGCCCCGCGGGTCCCGGGCCCCGGGGCCGGAAAAACGTCAGCCTGCGTCAGCTCGCGTGAGCTCCCCCCCCCCTCGCCAGAGCGGGTCCCGCGCCGGTGCCGGGTCCTGGGGCTCGCGCCGGTTCCAGGTCCCGGGTCCTGCGCCCGTCCTGGGTCCCGGGTCCTGCGCCCGTCCCGGGTCCCGGGTCCGGCGATCGTCCCGGCCGGGTCTTGGGTTCCGCTCCGGTCCCGGGTCGCGAGTCCCGGGTCTCGCGCCGGTCGGGTCCGGGACGATCCCGGGTGCCGGGTCCCGGGTCCCGGGTCCCGCGCCGGTCCCGGGTCTCGGGTCCCGCGCCGGCCCTTGGTCGCGGTCCTGGGTCCCGAGGCTGGAAAAACGTCAGCTCGCGTCAGCTCGCGTCAGCCCCCCCCCCCTCGCCAGAGCGAAGCTTGAGCGAGCTCAAGCCCACGCTCTCAGGAACTCACACGCCGGATCGGCGGATTATATGCCATGCTGCGCTATCAACTGCCACGCGGTGCCACGCTATGCAATGCCGTGCTGTGCTATGGCATCCTATGCGATGCTGCGCTACGCCGTGCAATGCTGTGATCCACCACGCTGCGCTACGCTATGCTACTCAATGCGATGCGACGCGATGCGATTCTGCGCCTTCCTGCTGGCGCTACTGCTGCTGATGTTGATGTTATGTAGCCGCGCGGGCCCACGGCCGACTTCGCCGCCAGGCCGCGCGAGCCCATGGCCGGCGGTTCCGCCAAGCGACCGTGCCCCCGCAGAGGGTGCGCGAGGTTGACTTATTGAGAGATTGCGAAGGCCTTACGGCCGATGCCGCTGACCCTGGAAACGACCCTGTCGTCTGGGCGCGCCAGCCCTCGCGGATCGGACGGTGGCTGCGAGGCGCTGACGGACGTCGGAGGCGTTGAAAGCGCGCTTGCCGCACTCGGGAAAGTGTCACTCCTCCGTTCTGTGATGGGGAGGAGGAGGAGGAACAGGCGGAGGAGGAGGAGGACAAGGTCGAAGAGGAGGGAATACCCGGTTGTTTTGTAACCTCCTAGTTTGTTTTGTAGCTTCCTCGGAGAGTTTTTTGGGACCTCTCGGGAGCCTCTTGGGGCCTCTGTGGGCTTCCTGGAGGGCCTCTTGAGAGCTTCTCGGGGCTGAGGGCTCGAAATGTCCGTTCGGGTCCCCCGTCTGGGCGCTCTCTTGGAACCGTTTCGGGAGCCTTTTGTGAATCTGGGAGGCGTCTTGGGCCGTCTTGGGGCACTTTGGGGCCGTTTGGAGACCCTCTCGGATGCCTCTTGGGCCGTGTCGGGGCGATATTAGGAGCCTCTTGGGCCGTCTTGGCGCGTGGGGAAGCGGAAGAGGCGAAAACGCCGAAAATCCTTGAAAAACGCATGGGGAATCCATGATTTGTACCTCTTGGGGCTTTCGTGGGAACGGTCCTGGAGGCCTCTTGGGGCGTCTCGCAGGCTTCTTGGGCCGTCTGGAGGCCGTCGAGGCGTCTTGGACAGATCATTCGGCGATTCGGCGCCCTCTTGGATCGTCTTGGTGGCCTCTCTGGGCACTTTTGGCCCGTCTTGGGGCTTTTTTGGGCTCCGGGATTCCCCGGGGGGGCGGCGTAAAAACCCGGGGCCCCCCCCGGGACCCACCCTGGGGGACGGCGTAAAAACCCGGGCCCCCCCCGGGCCCCCCCCCCTGCTATGCGATGCTGCGCTACGCCGTGCAATGCTGTGATCCACCACGCTGCGCTACGCTATGCTACGCAATGCGATGCGACGCGATGCGATTCTGCGCCTTCCTGCTGGTGCTACTGCTGCTGATGCTGATGTGATGTAGCCGCGCGGGCCCACGGCCGACTTCGCCGCCAGGCCGCGCGAGCCCATGGCCCGCGGCGCCCCCAAGCGACCGTGCCCCCAGAGGGTGCGCGAGGTTGACTTATTGAGAGATTTATTAGTTATGACCCAGCTGGCGCGCGACGGGTTGCGCCCGAAAGACTGGGCGGACCTCTTGCTGATAGACTGGCCAGCTATGACCCAGCTGGCGTGCGAGCGTTTCGCCCGAAAGACTGGGCGGACTTCTCGGCGGCGAGACCTCGCGATGAGCATCGTTCAACCGACCCGTATCCCCACGAGCGTTGCCTCGGTACCCCAGGGCGAGTTGCCCTTACGATGGGAATATTCGCCGCCCCCTCGGGCTTCGGTGGTATATCCCCGCCCCGGGGGGGGCGGGGGCGGTTAACTGATGCTGACGCGGGGCGCTTAGGCACCCGCGTCCGCGATGGCGACAGCAGCTCCAAGCGCCGCCGCGGCGGCGGGAAAATCGACAACCGCTTCTCGACGGACACGGCCAACGCGGACCTCAGCGTGCGGCGTCCGTGCGGTGGCTGCTGACCAGGGTCTTGGTGAAGGTGCCAACGAGGGCCATCCACTGCTTGGGGTCCTTCTTCTTGTCGTGGTCGGGCTCCGCGATCTGCGCCGGGCCGGCGGCCTCCACCGCGCCCGCCGCGCGGGCCAGGGCGGGCCGCGCTTCGTCGCAGCGGACCAGCAAGCCCGTGAACTCGAGCTTGATATCTCGACCTTGAGCCTCTCAGCGACCTTCGTGCGGAAGGCTGCGTGGCGCCGGTTCCTGAAACGCGCCCTCAAGTCGCCGCGCGTGAAGCGCTCGTCGACCTGCGTGTCGTTGAGGATAGCGGCAGCGAGCACCTGGTCGTTCGTGAGAGACTTGGCGGTAGAGGCCGACGTGGAAGACTGCCCAGCCATGGCAATGGAGCGAGGGAGCGTCTTGGCCACGTCGACGCAGCGAGCCTGCAGCCCGCAGTGCAACTGCCACTGGCGGCGAAGGCGCCACAGACCGAGAACCACGTACTCAAGTTCGATTGTCCCGGCGGGGTTGGCGCTGCCCGCGATCCCCTGGCTGATGCGACGGACGCGATTTGCAGTGACGTTTTTTCCCCAATCAGAGCTTGCCTCTGTAGGGGTCCTAGCGGATTCATATGGTTAGGTTAGCGTGGCCGCCGATTTTTGCTGCACGCCCTGGTGCCCGGGGGTGCCCGGTGGTGCCCGGGGGTGAGGTTGGCCGCCGATTTTCGCTGCACGCCAGGGTGCCCGGGGGCTGCCCGGGGGTGCCCGGGTGCCCGGGTGCCAGGGCGTGCCCTGGGGTGTCCTATAGCCCTACAATTCTATAGCCCTATAACTATCACTCTATAGCCATATAACTAGCTCAATAGCCCTATAGCCCTAAAGCCCTATAGCCCCCTAGCTCTATAGCCCTGATTAGGTTTTTCTCCGGTATCATGCAGGTTGTCTCTAGGTTTTCGCAAGT